TTATATGGGTTTTCAAAGGTCTTAAGGTCCTTATTGTAAAGGTCCTAAGAGGCAGTTCCTAGAGGTGCTAGAACAGGCTGTTCCCCAAATAATCTGACCATGAATTTGAAATTATCTGTATCTTGCTGATTAAAAAGGCAGGAAAACCTCACTGCTGAGGTTGCCATAGAAAGGTTCAATGATATTTGCAACAAACTGCAAAGTCTGAGAAATCTAACTGGTGCACAAGGCAGCACAGAGGAGAGCTCTAAACCAGGATTATTTGCAGCAGCAGTGAGGAGGAGGACACAGGGAATGTGATGGAGAAATTTGACCTTAGAAACAGAAACCTGGGAGGGAATCTCCTGCCCAGGTTTCTTTTTTTTTTTTTTAAAAAAAAAAAAAAAGGCGGGGGGGCGGGGCACCAGTATTTTTTTTTTTTTTTTTTTAAAAAAAAAAGGCAGGGGGAAGTGCCACATCTACATGTTTTTTCCAGGTTAATAAAGTTTGACTTTTTCATTTGGATGACGATAGTTTTCGAAGTAATTGGTCTTTATCAGAAGCTATTCTGTGATAAGACTATCCATGTCACCTTGGGGCTGGGGGATGATGACATAGAGTCAATACCAAACAAGCCTTGACTCCAAACTCTATATTCTTAGGGCGCTAGCTTGTTCATGTAACTATGGAAGAGACTACCAATACAGCTAACCAAAATCCGTAATCTTGAAAGATTTTTATTCTTTCACAGCTTTTTTTAAATCATTCTTAAGCAGTACACACCAGTCCCAGTGGCACACAAGCTGTTTTCTGATGCTTATAATCCATGCATATATATCCATGCATAAAAACTTGTATATGGGGATTTGCCTGCCATGCTTCACAGTAATACTGCAGTCACTTTGCAGCAGGTATCTCTGTCCTGTTTGCGCTAGCTGATATTATGTTCCACTGACACGAAGCAAACACCTATGCACTCATCTCTCCGGGAAACACAAGAATAGCTTTTCAGTTAGTTTTAAATCCAAGCTTTTCCATTTAGACCACACAAATACATCAAGTCTACTCTTCTTAACCCCGCCCCCCCCCAAGTAATTAATAAAACATGGAAGTAAAAAATGATATCATGTCACTTTACAAAATCTATAGCTACATACTCTGTCATAATAAAGACATTTTGGCAGATGACAAGTTATTTCTTTTTCTGCTTAAAACTGGAGCTTTAGGAATGACTAGGTGTTAAGTGCTATACTTGGTACAATTAAGTTTGGTATCTTTGGTAAACAGGACTCTATTTAATATGTGCTGATTGCTACCAGACTAGGAGTCTCTTTTAAATGGGCATTAGGGCCAATGGAGGTAGCTTTCACCCTGCTTAGATAGATATAGATATATATATATATAGATATATATATAAAAAATGAGGCAAAACTAAAGTAACTGGGAGAGGAAACATGTTAGGCAGACAATGTCACTGTGCATGTCCAAAACAGAGATGTCTTTTTTTTTTTCTGGAAATATCTGTTGCCTACCTTTTCAAATGCAGGCATAATCGTACTTTTCTGCCCTGGAAACCAGATGTTTTGTTTGGAGGTTTTGAATGCTACATAAAATTTGCTATACATTTCCCTTCACTAGTGTCTTGACAGTTAAAACTAACTAACTAAAAATCAGTTCTAAGCTAACAGAATTGCAAGTCAGTGCCACAAGAAGCTAAGAATAAAGCAGCCCATAGAAATTACTGAAACACAGAAAATGGGCACTCAAGACTCAAAGCCGAATGGAGGAAAATGGGGTGAGGAAAGGAAGCCAGTTCAAAAGTCACTCAGGGAAGTTAGCCACCTGAGCAAGAATACGATAGGAAGGAACTTCTTATAAAAGATTTTCGAAAGCTGGTATGAAAGAACTTTCACATTTGCTTTGTAAGTGATTTTTTTTTTCCTTACAAAAGAGTTCATGGACAAATTTAGGCCTCAAAGTGCTGCTAGAAGAATGAGGATGTGTCCAATTCCGTTTACATGCTACTTGTTCCTGTATTTTAAGCAGTCTTCTTTCATCCCATTGTGCTTCTGATTATCCATCATTCATCCAAAGAGATTTTGCCAGTCCCCTGTGAAATTTCTCTCCCAGTAAAAATGGATGTTGCACACTAAACTTAAAGGACTGCAGGAACTTTCTGAAAGGATTCAGACTTGCTATGTCACAGCCCGCAAGTAGGGTTGTAACAAATTACTGCAAAACAGCCTGATTACTCAGGGCAGGAAACTAAATGCAGCTTGGGTATCTTGTGAATAGTTCTCTTCCACAAAAGTCACTTAGACCAATTAGGTTTTGGCCTTTGGAGTAAACAAGCAGAGACTACAAAAGAAATACACACTGCAACTTGAACTGAGTTGTCAAAGATATATTCCATGTTGGAACTAGTTTTAAGGATTACATTACCACCTCCGGATTCCAGGAATTTCTTTCCAAGACAGCCTATGTTTTAATGAAAAAAGTAAATTTGGCCAGAATAGTTTCATATCTCATTTTGGAGAGTATTCATCAGAATAAACCCCATTAAGCTTTATTTGGATACAGAATAAACATCTAGAAAATTAATATGGCAAAAGGAGGTGGCTTGTCAAACTTGTCTCTAGTGAGTTACTCATTTTTAATTTTAAACTCCCCAGCCATTGAAAGTGTCGGTGGTTTGCCATCCAAAGAGCCTGGAAAACCAACTGAGTCACTCTTTGACCACAACAGTAGGCAGACCTACTGGGCTGACTTAATTAGCTTGTCTTTTCATAGAGCAGAAGTGGCTTGTTTGGATGACAGGAATGCAAATGGGCTCCAAATGCATCACCATTAGAGAGTACTAAAAACACCCATGGAAAAGTTCATGCCACAGAAGAATGTTGCTTACTGTCATTCAAAAACATGATTTTAGAGTTCAAGGTCCTCTAATAAATACTGCAACTACTAATGCTGGACACTTTTTCTGTGAAGTAACTTTTACAATCTTACCAGTAACTGCTGAATACCAATTAAGACACACCGTGTTTGTGTCCCATGCTTGTGTATAAAAGCACTTTGGAGCAATAGAAGCTGCTTCATCTACAGTGAATTATTTGAGGCTAGGGACCAAACAGACCATTGCTAACCCGCTCCAGTATCATCTTTGGGTCATCACCTCCCGCGTGCACTGGCACTACTCACCTATGCAACCTCCAAAGCCCCTGTACTAACACCCACCTATGCTAAGATCACCACGTTTGTTGGACACGGACAATTATCTTCCTCCAGTTTATCCCAGTTCATGACTCACTTTGCCCATTTTCTATCAGAAAACCATTTAAGAACACAACAGCAACTGACACATGAGATCAGTTCATGGCTCAGTCCAGTAACTGGTATCATATAGCTCAATGAACTTCCAAACTTCTGTAGAATCTGTCCAGAGGAAAGGTGTTTTTTACTTCCAGGCAGTCAGTAGCTTATGTTTTTCAGCGGATTCATTAGTTGTGTCCTTTCTTTACTCACAAGTGTCTATAATTTTTAATAAATTGGACAAAATTCTGGCGAATGCTTTTGGAAATTAACTTCAGCAACTTATTTACATAAATGCTTGCTCATTCTACTGATCTAAACTTGTTGACTTTTCATTTCATGACCTTGAATATAAACAAGATAAATTAAACAACCGTTCCGAAGATAACAAAGAGGACATGGTAAAAATGTAAAACCTAACATCTACTCCCTTTCTGTAATACAGAGGCTTAGTGAGTATTCTGAAGTGCAAGGCAGCAAACACTTTTTTGAAAGGAGAACTGGAGACTAGAAATAACTTTTCTGAAAAGAGTCAAAGAACCAGATGTAGATCTCCTGCTGCTTGCTTCGGTGTTTCCTGTTCTCGAATACCCAACTGATACTTAAGCACTTCTACTATATTGTATTTAATAGTAATATTTTTTTTCCAGAATACAACTCCTCTTTGCAGGTTTGGGGTTTTTTTTCCAGAGGGATTAAGGTATTGATCACTCTTCCTAGTGTTTTTCAGATTGAATACATGCTACAAGAACAAAACTCTGTTTTCTACAAGGCCCTACATAATCCCAAATCCTCTCAGTTGGTAGGTACACCAAGTAGTTCTCACATTCTGGGCCTTGAGAGCCACCTGGTGGAATACACCATAAAAGTACTCCTGCAAATTACACAAAGTAGAGACTCACAAATGCATATTCAAGGTAGATATTTTGCTATGGGGGAGGACAGGAATGGCAAACAAAGAGGAGGGGGGAAAAAATCACATCAGACAGTATTTATCTGCTAGCCAGCATCTTTAAAAATGAAACCAATCTTATTTGCTGTTTTAGTTTGTGATAAACATAGCTAAGAGAAGAGCCGATCCTATTCTGCGTGTTTTAAATAACTTCATTTTGCCACGGTATCTAATGAAATAAAGCATTCAAGGCATCCTGAGAGAATAAAAGTGTATCTAGCAAATGTACCACAATATTCTTCCCATTCTCAAGCCATTTCCTACTTAACAGGATGAAAACATTGGAAAAAGCCTTGTAATGAGCCTGGAAAGTTCTGGCAGGCAGCAATCAGTTCTCCTATACCTCTTAACAGCAGCTTCTTTCTACTTATAAAACAGGTTTGCCTAGAAAGAGCACGTAGCTGGGAAATCCAGCAACACAGCAGCAAAAGCAGTGATAATACCGGTAAGGGCTTTGTTTCATGTTTCTGTTATTGACTCAAAACCCAGCTGCTATACGGGTCCTACCAACCAACACAGTATTTAATAGCATATTTAACCATACATACTGTATCATCTCAAAAGCTGTATTGCCTCAGAGGTGTTAATCTAATGGTCTTGTTCTCAGCATTGAGCTAAACCACTCTCAAATAATGCCTTTAACCTGGTGTGATGCTTTCACGCTGTAAAAGCACAAGTTCTGAGAATTACACCAGCATTTTGTTCCACCCCACCAAAACTCTTTTAGCCCAGGCTACCCTGTCCTTATCAGTATGCCCTTGAACTTTTTACAATGCTTATTGTTGGTACTGGAAAACAGTGGCGGCCTAGACATTTCAAAGTTAGTAGTACTATTTTGAAAAAAAAAATCTTATTTAATCTGAGAAAATCTTAGAAATTAGCATTTCTATGAGACTTTTTGCTTGCTTTCCTTTTTTACTTGTTTAATTTCACTATGAAAAATAATCAAAGGAAACATACGGGAACCTTGAATAATTCCTTCTCATTTGCTTATACCTTCCTCAAAACGAAGCAACAACCAAGAATAAGATTTTAGAGAAACTTCTTATTCTTTGGTATAGAATCTTTAAATAATTCCGCATTGACCTAGCTGCTTTGACAGAGTGGCCTTTGACTGCAGACCTTGTACTGTCATTCTTGTTTCAAAATGTGGTTTAATGAGATGGAGAAAGCCAGTCCCTGGGGGCAGCCCTGTGCTTTATCAGGCTCCTAAATAAGATCTTACTCAAACAGCCAAAAAAAAAAAAAAAATCCAGAAAAGGCATTGGTGCTGTTAAGTTGTACACCTTAGTATGTATATCAAACTGTTCATGACAGTTCCCTAAAAAGCAAGGCTGTACCAATAAGCCATAACAGCAAACCCAAGTTCTAAACAGCTTCTTTCTGGAATCCCCTTGATTTTAGAATTACTAAAAATTCCAACAAAGTTTTCTGTTTTCTCCATTATCAGGTCTTTTTTTTTTTTTTTTTTTCCCCTGTTCCCTTTTTCTAAAAAGGGGAACAGGGTTCCATGAAAACCACTTTCCATAGAATGAATTCCATGTATTTGATAGGGAGTAAGTGTAACCGACAGTTCTGACTACTGCAGAAAGGAAGAATTTTTTTTAGTTTTCCCTTTTTTTGTGCCTCTGCACTGGCACAACGAATGGTCTAATGCATGAAAGCAAGCCTGAGAAAAGCAAGTGTTCAGACTCACCAGGAATTTTAGAAATTCTGTCATTCTTAAGGTTCAAGACAGTCTGTTCATAAATGGAAAGATGAAACCAAAGGGACAGTCTTTAGTCTGCTTTTGGTTTTCCCCTTGCCTACACTTCTGAACCACTCGGGTTGCTCTGGTGGCCCCCTCTTGTCCCACTGATGTGTCCTGTTTAAATGAGAATATTTTTGCCCCCTGTGTGTGAATGACCAGAATGGCCAGCAGCAATGGTCTCACGAATCTGTTCTTCATTTGTTATTGAAGAAAGCATTATTTTTATTCAGTCTCAGGGCAATTCCCGAACTACTTAGTCCAGGTGTAATTTAGGACAGTTTATTCACACCTAAGACATGTCAAGTGGGTAAGAATGCGTTTTGGGGTGCGGGGCTTCCTTTTCCTCCTGTGGGTTGTGGTGGAGGTATCGCCTGCTCCTTGGTGTTGGAGGGTGCAAAACACATAATCTGCGGCTCTATACCGTCTCTCTTAAATAGCTTATTTCCCATAATAAATAGGCCGGGGGGCCGGGTGGCCGCCCTGGCGGGGCTCAGCCGCTCAGGGGACGGTGCGTGAGGGGAAGAC